CAGAACGTCACCTCATATTACAGGCAGTTTTGGTGTTCTGGATCATGAGGAGGGAACTCTGAGGGCCCTCCCAACAGAGAGCAGAACCACACTGTTCTCACCTACAAAATGAATAGGTGCAGCGATACAACAAAGTCCAATTCTAATGTGCTACATTAAGCAAGTCCACTCACTGACGTGTAAGCGTATTTTGCATATGGTCATGACAACAGTGGAGAGGCACATGGTACCAGTGAAATCAGGCACCTACTGGGTCCACTGGTCTACAGAACTGTTAGCACTACATGGATTCAAAAAGCCGTGTCTGGGAGCACAGATGCCTCTACAGGCTGCTCGACATCGCAGAGGAGCAAGGCCCTTCACCTCGGACAGGCTCTTCCCCTGGCCCTGGCCACCTGATGCTCTGCCCCCGCTTCACAGAGCTGCTGCCATCCCGTGCGATTAACAAACAACACGCAAACACTTTGCGATCTGTAGAAAGCACCTCAAATGTTTCTTTCTGGAAAGAGCACAGGTTGTCTGTGAAGGCAGGCTGAGGTTGCACAGGAGCCCGCCACACTGCATCTGAGTTCGAAGCAGCCACAGGACCAAAAGAAATGAGGCACAATTTCTAACTTTTAAACTGAGGTCACAAAATAGACAAAGGGTCTAATCACGTTCAACTTCACCATTTAAACCTAAACCATTTTGTAGCTGTTAACCAGTCATATAGAACTCATACTCAAGCATCAGAGGAAGATGCCTGTTCGCAGATAGGAAATGCCACTCAGGTGCGTCTATTTACACAGAGGCGCTGCTGTGAAGATCAGCCTCTTCATCACCAGCTCAGGAGGCATCAACTTCAGGATATTCCCACTACCTACTTCCTGAACAGCCTGCACCTGTTATTATGAAGCAGTCACACTCTTACAGCAAAACTCTTTGATGACTCTCCACTGACTGCCCCAATTCTTCTCTCCCTTGCACCCCGACAAGGTTTGCTTTCCACTTCCCCATCCAAGTGGGCACTCAGAAAGGTCATTGATCCTTTCAACCTTGGAACAGGACATAGTCGATTCTACTTTCCCACCTCACAGGCTGCTCTTCCTTCCTTTCTCCTTTCTGCTCCTCCTCATCTACAGAGCCTGCAACTGGAGGTCCCAGGGCTCAGTCCCTTGTCCTTTATTCTCGGTCTACATTCATTTCTCTAGATCACATAAGTTCAATAACACCTAGGCATTGAAATCCCCACTTTCACTGGCAGCCAGGAAATTTCCCCTCAACTTCAGACTTCATGCATCCAACTCCTACTTGACAATCTACCTGAATGACCCCTCAACATCTCACATGTGTGCCAAGTTATCTCCCAAACCACAAAACCTATTTTTCCCATGGCCGTTTTTCCTCAGTAAGTGTAACCTCCAATCCTATACTTTGCCAGGTAGAAAATTATAGAGTCAATCTTCACACCTCTCTTCCTATGGCATTATGAAACTCATCAGCACACCTGTGGTTTCTGACCAGGATCTGACCGCCCATCATCACCACCATGCTCCCCCCCGACTGCTGATACCACCTTCCAACCAGTATCCCTGTTTCCACCCTTGCCTCCCTACAGTCTACTCTTAAACTGTCATCAGAGCGATCATTTACAACCACAAGACACACATGTTACCTGTGCTTGGAACCCTCCAACAGCTTCCCATATCACTTGAAATAAAAGCTGAAGTGCTTGCAAAGCCCTACGTGTTCTCACTACCTTCCCAATCGACTCCCCTCCTTAACATTTTTCAGCTTAAGGAAAGAAAAGAGAATGACTCCTCATCTTTTTACAACAACAACAAAAAAAGCCCCATTAAATAGTAGGACCATGGCAAAAGGAAAACTTCTCCTGGGATTCTTTTCCTCCTAACATTTTATTTTCATGTTGCAATCTTCAGCAAACCCAAAAGAAAACAGTGAACCTGGATTCTTTTTTTTTTTTTTGATGGTAAAGAGAGGCTAAGCTTAAACTTACCTGAAAAGACACTGAAGATACACGGGTTTAATGGACAAATGTATACTTAAATAAAAATCTAAAGAAAATAGTAAACTTACTAGAAACTGTAAGTTTAAAGTTCCGATTATTTACAAATCCCCAAGTAGAAGAATAAATATACTATTTACAAGTCATAATTTCATCATGAATCTGCTAAATGTAGCTGGTCATCAGTCAGCCTTTGCCAAATTTCTCACAAATGCATACACTGATGTCCTCACTGCATCCTGTCCTTTGCCTTAGCCCCATAAACGAAAAGGCCCTAATATGCCCTCAAAGAGCTCTCAACTGTACTGATTCAGATGATAAAACTGAGGACCCGCTCTCCTGTGAAATGACCTGTGGGTGTCCTTATTGACCTGCAAACACATTTTTTCTTTCCCTTCCCACTTGCTTTGTAAAACATTTAATGCAACATAAAAGCCCCTAAGACAGACCAGGCATAGTGCTCATGCCTATGATTTCAGCAATTTGGGAGAGCAAGGTAGGAGGATCACTTAAAACTAGGAGTTTGAGACCAGGCTGGACAACACAGCAAGATCCCTTCTCTAAAAACAAAAACAAAAAAATTCTAAAATCAAGCTAGGTGTGATGGTGGGCACCTATAGTACCAGCTACTCTGGAGGCTGAGGATTGAGCTGAGGAGTTCAAGGATACAGTGACTATACCACTGAACTCCAGCCTAGCCAAGAGAGTGGGATATTGTCTTAAAAAACAAAAAAAAGAAAGAAACAAACAAACCTACAAAGAAACAACAACAAACCCAAACCAACATGGAACACATATGGAGTCATAAAGCCTTATTTCTTTAAAAACTTAACTGGAAGGTGGGAGCAGTAGCTCATACCTGTAATCCTAGCATTCTGGGAGGCTGAGGCAAATGGATAGCCTGAGTTCACAAGTTCTAGACCAGCCTGAGAAAGAGAAGCAAGACCCTGTCTCTACCAAAACCTAGCCCAGCTTTGTGGCAGGCACCCATAGTCCCAGCTCCTCAAGAGGTTGAGGCAAGAGGATTGTTTGAGCCCAAGAGTTTGAGGTTGCTGTGAGCTATGATGTTATAGCACTCTACTGAGGGCGACAAAGTAAAACTCAAAACAAAAAATAAAAACAAAAAAAAACTAGCTTGGATTTTCTATGAATTCATACGCTCCTCCATGATAACTCCTAAGTAGATAGTACTGAGATTTCACCATAGCCCTTCCTAGCTAACACTCTTATTTCTCAAGTGTGAGACTCCTGATTAATTACTAAAGAATTAGAGTAGGAAGGTAAGCCTAGGGCCTCCTCACACAATACTCTTTGGAAGGTACACATCTCTAGGTAAGTTCTAAGAAATTACAGTTATTTACCCACTCTTTCCCTGTGAACACTGCTACAACAAATGGTCTTTCCTTCCCCAGAGTGTAACCTCCTTCCTTTCAGTCACTTCCTTTTCAACCATAAATTCAAACTACTGCTCCTCTCCAGATCTCTTCCTTTCTGATCTAATAAATTGCCTCTTAAATTTTTGTCTTACTGCTCTGCTGTGAATTTACACCTTTGGCTCAAGAATGCCAGGGCTTCTAAAAATTTTCCATTATTTCTAGAATAAGAAGTTCAGGCCATTCCTTCCTAAAAGTGAGTTTCATTCCTGATTTTCTGTATGAACAAATGTTCCTTTAACTGCTTTATCCCCAGATCATGCACTGGTTCCATTAGACAAACAGTAAGTTAGGAATCTGACCTTTTGTGTTTGTATTCCCTCACAGGGCAAGCTCACTTAAAAATCCTACCAAATTCATTCATTCAGACTCTCAACCACGAATAACAAATAAAAGGCATCATAGCAGATAAAAATGTATATAAACTGTGCTCTCCAAACTTCAGGAGCTTATGGAAAGAGGGTCATGTGGACATACATATTGTGAATATTTATAGAAACAGTTGTTCTTGACCACTCCCAACAGAAAAGTGAAAATGAAATCAATGATATATACATCACTCTCTCTACGGCTCAGATTATGTAGGATCATGACCTATTTATCTCATATTAACAGGGTCCTTTATTTTATTTTAGCATGATGAATAAAGCATTGCTTTCCCAGCTTTTTTAGACTTTATTGCTCTAAATTTGCAAATCAGTGAAAGATTCTGATCCTCATTCTCTAAACATTTGCTTTGCAAAGAAACAAGTTCTCTATAAGGTTAAGTTATTTAGAAAATAAGGTTCTCTTTTTATTTAGTACAAGTTTAAGTTCTATTGGATCTGCTTTTCTGCCAGGTTTCACTATTGACCTGATTTCCATTTATCGCCTCAATTGCATATCCCTCTCATTTTCGTAAATCAAAAGATGATGCTTAAATATAAAGAACTTAAACACGGGATCTGGAAACACAGCAGCCGTAAAACACCTGCCGATCAGCACAGTGTAGACGCTGGGGAGAAGGTGAAAACCGAAGTTGAGGAACTGTGTATTTCAAAGTGCTTTGGTTCATTAAACAGTCATTTTTTATTTTAAAGCCATTATATCAGAGTTATTAGCATTGCTACTGCATAAACTCTGAGATCTATTGTATTCAAAATGTTTTATTGTGTTATTTTATTCCCCCCCCCCCAAAAGATAAATACACCTTCAATTTTAAAATGAAAATCTTTGGGAAATGAGTTTTCGATATACAGAAATTCATCTCACAAAAAATATCAGGACTTGAACCACACTTAAAGTGCCTCTGTGTCTCATATTGATCCTCAAAACCATACATTTTTTAGCTTCCGAATGGGAGTCTCCCATCCTATTGTCACACTAGGTATCCAAACATGGTTTTAGGAATCAAGCAAAGCAAAGTCACTCCATAAGTAAATACTTCAAAGGACACTTACCTAAGTTTCACACAGCAATAAACAACAGTTCTTAACAGATAAGCCATTAGAGAGGGCTTGGGACCCAGTAGTGGACATGCATCCTCTCACCACCTGAAATCCAGTCTGTAACCAGACACCTACCGCTCGCTTTGGCTTCCGAATAAGACGGGCCATCCTCGAAAGTGAAGATCTGGGACATGCTCTGGCCCAGGTAAGAGGGAGGCGGATAGTAAGAATGCATCCTGTACTGGGAACTCATCGCATGGCGGTTCTCAGAGTTCTTCATCTGCTAAAGAAAAAAGAAGAAATACATTGAGACCAACGGTTCATTTTACCATTATTCCAAGAACTGTCTACTTCTGCAAGTGTGGGGAATGGCCTGTTCAAATTGGGTATCTTCTACCATGAATATGTTCCTCCAGCACACTGAGCCTCCGAAACACAAGCACTGTGCATCTTGAAGGTACCATTTCTATCATGGGGTCCCCTCTAAAGTACCCCTGAAATTTCCTCCAGTCATAGGGGGCTGAACTAACCAGTTCCAAGGAAGATAAGATAGCGGAGAGGGGACAGCACTGCGCAGGAGCAAACACAATCTGCTGTAACACTGACTAGCCTCTCCGACCAGGAGCACGTTATCAAACCTCTTCACACGTTGACACCTTGTTTACAGAGTTCAAATAAATAGATATTTTTTAAACAGGATTTTTAAAAAAACTATAGAAAAGTAACATGCAAACGACTCAGCGTCAGTTCCCACCTCCTTTTACTCTGTTCCCTATAGCAGGGGACAGAAGTCTGGGATCTGGGTTCTGCTAACTAGACATATGGAGTGAGAATGGAAAGACAGCAGGGAGGCACAGCTGTCCCTCCAGCAGCAATGGCAGCTGCACGTGGGCGTGGCAGTCATTTGTGTTTCTGGCAGGCAGACTCTATCTTTGGAACCATCGGGCAGCTTTTATGAAAGGAGCAGTTAGTTCCCTGCAGCTTTCAGAGCTCTCATTCAAAGCCAAGGAGACATGCCCTGATGGCTCAGGAGAGACCTCCTACTTCCACCTGCTGATGACTGTGTAAAGACCCACGTCCATGGGAACCCGGAACTATTTCTTACATGGAGCCTGGTACAGATACCAAGCATTCAACACCCAATCCTATCTCCACACAAGAACTGAGCGGAATGTCAATCATTTCTAATGTCTTTAACAACTTAAATTTAGAGAGTATTCACTTTTATTTTTTGTTTTAGGGGGTTTTCTTGAGACAAAGTCTCTATGCCCTGGGTAGAGTGCCTTGGCATCATAACTCACAACAACCTAAAAACTCTTGAGCTCGATCAATCCCCTTGCCTCGGCCTCCCAAGTAGCTGGGCCTACAAGCGCCTACCACAATGTCCTGCTAGTTCTGTTTAGTAGAGACAGGATCTCACTCTTACTCTGGTCTCAAACTCTCAAACAATCCACTTGCCTGGGCCTTTCAGAGTAGTAGGATTACAGGTATGAGCCACTATGCCAGACAGAGGGTATTCACTTTTAAATACGAGTCAATCTAAGGAAATGTTCAAGATAAACCAATTCTGTCTAGAATTAAGGAACAATTTTGCAATTATGTTTTCCAATCAAATGTGTGTGTGTGTGTATGTTATTGTTGTTGCAGTTTGGCCGGGGCTGAGTTCAAACCCACCACCCTCGGTATATGGGGCTGGTGCACCACTCACTGAGCCGCAGGTGCCACCCCTCCAATCAAATGTTTTGAATGCTACTTTATACAGAAAATAATGCTAACTTGACGAGAGCCTTGCAAGATAAAACCAGGTTCTGGCTTCCTTAAGATTCTCTAACATGTGAATTCTGGACAATGTCCCAAGTAACCACTGGCCTAAGAGTACTTTGAATATTATAGGATTACTTGAGAGAAAGTTTCTGTATGTTACTTTGAGAAACACAAAGGATTCACTGTTGATCATCTTACTGTTCCCCAGCTCAATTCTATGCTCTGATGGGCAGATTATTTCCTCTTGGAGAGGCAAAGGGTAGGTGATTATTTCCTTTCAAGTGAAGTTTATCTGGGGGTGTTTCCTTTATCCTTTCTAGTTTGTCTTTCTGAAATATACAGACTGGCATTTATTCTAGGTAATCACCCCACTTTCATTTTCTACCATCAAAGGGGGGGATTCTGCCCCAATGAGAGAGTGGCAGGACAATCTACCAAGGAGCCTTGAAACCACGGAGCAAGCAATACTAGCGGTTTACTACACAGACCCAGGTCCAGTTATACCACTGATGCCCTGTGCTCTAACTGTGCACACACATAGCCAGTGGGTCTTGTTAAAATGTAAGCTCTCAACAAAAAAAAAGCAAACAACCCCATCTATCATTGGGCAAAAAGCATGAACAGAACCTTCTCTGAAGAAGACAAATGAATGGGCAACACACACATGAAAAAATGCTCATTGTCCCTAATCATCAGAGAAATGCAAATCAAAACCACTCTGAGATATCATCTAACCCCAGTGAAAACAGCCCACATCACAAAGTCTCAAATCTGCAGATACTGGTGCAAATGTGAAGAGAAGGGAACACTTTTACATGGTTGGTGGGATTGCAAACTAATACAGCCTCTATGGAAAGAAGTATGGAGAACCCTCAAAGAACTGAAAGCAGACCTTATGTTTGGTCCTGCAATCCCATTACTAGGTAACACCCAGAAGAAAAAAAGTCATTTTATCATAAGGACATCTGCACTAGATTGTTTATCACAGCTCAATTTACAATTGCCAAGATGTGGAAACAACCTAAGTGCCCACCAACCCAGGAAAGGATTAATAAACTGCCGTCTATGTATACCATGGAATATTATTCAGCCATTTTTAAGATGGAGACTTTACATCTTTATATTAATCTGAATGGAGCTGAAACACATTCTTCTTAGTAAAGTATCACAAGAATGGAAAAGTAAGTATCCGACGCACTCAATACTAATATGAATCTGGTGGAGGAGCTAATACACACCCACACAAGAGAAAAATTTAATTCAAGTTGAGGAGAAGAGAGAAAGGGAAGGAGGAGAGGTGAGGAGGGAGGGGGAGTGGTGAGGAGGGAGGGGGATTGGAGTGCTCCCATCTGATGGGCACAATGTAAGGGTATATGGCACATCTCCCAGGAGTGGAACCCAACTGCAGCAGGGACCTTACGTAACAAACGCAAACCGATTGTAACCTAATCATTTGTACCCTCATATTAATCTGAAATTTTTTTTTAAATCCACATTGTGAAGCATTAAGTCTGGGGCAGAGATGTTGACTCTGCTGGCCCTCAAACCTGGTTCTAATGAAAAGAGGATAAAATGACCCTGTCTCTCATCCTCAGCACCTCGAGGGGCCAGGACCGAAGGAGGGCCTTCTAAAAATCAACCCAAAACTCCTCTTTTTATCAACTGTTTCCGCCTAAACTGGGGGAAGCTAGAAATATGTAAGCAGCAATTTTTAATTTTCATAATTTTTCTTTTTAGACATAAGATTCTCCAGAGCTAAAAGACTTTTCTCAGGGGTTGCGGCCATCTAGAATTGCTGCAGTGGTAATCACAAACTCAGGCGCTCTGAACTGAAGAGCCATTTCTGCCTCCATAGACTTCCCTCAAGTCAATTACACAGTCTGAGTAATGAACATTGAATTAGGAGCAAGGTGCCGACTTTTAAGTACAGAATGCCTAATATAAATAATGGAGTCTCCCTGCTCCAAATGCTGAGTTAGTCACATCTCCTTCAGGTTTGACAATATCTGCAAGTCAGTTCTTCAAGGAAAATGCTTTTCAATTTTCCCTGTGTACAACAAAACTGACAGGGTTGGAGCCTGCCAGCTCTGCAAAATGCTAGACTTTTTTTTTTCTTTTACTGTGAAGGTTTATACAAAGCTGCTTTTCAAAATGTTTGAAAAACGTTCACCATGAGCCTATAGCAGGGGTCAGCAAACTTTTTATCGTAAATGGTCAAACAATAAATATTTTAGGCTCTGCAAGCCATGTAGGATCTCTAGGCAACCAGTAAATGGGTGGACATAGTTGTGTTCCAATAAAAATTTACTCATAAAAATCTGCACTGGTTCTCAACCTTCACTCCCACTGGAATAAGAGCAGGTGGGGACCCCGTAATGATGCCTGGGCCCCACTCCTATAGAATGTGATTAAACTGAACTGGGAGATGTACCCTGGGCCCTGGATCTTTTCAAGCTTCCAAGGTAATTCTAACAAGATGCCAAGATTGAGAACAAAAGCTCTACAATTACCAAGATACCTTCCACACACCTGGGAGGTATGAGTCTCAACATCCCCTTGTCAACTAAAAGATACAAAAGGCTGAGTCTGACAAACAGAATGGTCAACTGGGGCCAACCCCAATGTGTATATTATTTGGGAAAAGATTCAAGTGAGCAGTGAAGATCTTATTTAACTAAAGCTTACTAGAAAATAAACACAATTTCTAATCTGAGCATACACTCCCCCCAGTCCCTTTTCTATGTTTACAGAAAGCATGGGATTACAAAGATGATTTGGAAATACTGGAAAAAGAAGTTGAATTATTTGCATTCCAATAGACAACAATCACTTAGGCTACCACCACCGCAAAGAATAATCCATCAATAATCCACGTGACAACCTAAAGGCAAGAAAGAAGGACAGCCTCGTGTGTTTCCAAGTGCATGCGTAAACCTCTGAAATGTGCCATTAAAACTAAATGGCCGTTCACACAGACAAGGTGTGCCAGAGCGTGATTTCAAATTCCCAATCATGCTCCGAGGGAAAAACTCACAATCCTGGTACTACTGGCCTAGACAAATGGAAAAGTAATAAAGCCTTTGAAGCTCATTGTTTTATTTTCAGCCAGTAGTTCTCAACTGGGGACAATCTAGTCTTCCAAAGGACATCTGACAATGCCCAGAGATACTTTTCTTACAGTGGGGCTGGGGCTATTGATGCTGCTGGTGACCACGGGTAGAGGCCAAGCATGCCACTGTCCTACCATGCACACGGCTGTCCCACACACAACAAAGCACTGTCCACCCAACCTCCCACCAGTGAAGAAGATGAGAAGCCCTGCTTCAAACTAACCTACACCCCCTGGGTTCAGTCCCTCCCCTCTAGTGAGAAGAGAACAGCGAAGTCCTGAGGGGCAGAAGCAGCAAACGAATCTGAGGAACTATTCAAACCTGCTAAGGGAATGTAAAGGTATTTTTTTCCTTTATGCAATACCACCTTGTTTCTTCCCAAGGTTTTATTTTTTTTTCAGGTTAA